GAAAAGACAGATGTTAACAGAACAATGAGGTTTCTCTCCTGACTGCAAATGTCAAACTATAAAAGATACTGGAGTAGCACTGGGATGCTTTGCGGGGGGGAGCCGGGGGGGGAACTCTGATAATAGGTGCCTTCTTAGGTTAGTGGAGATCTGTGTTTGGTTTTATGGTCAGAATCCTCCTTGGATAATAGGCAAGTTTTAGGGCTTTTTAGATTGAAGGAAAAATAAAAACTAGCAGAAATCGGTAGGCTGTAACTTCCACACATCAAGCACAGTTCTATATGTTCCTCCAAACAAATGCTGCTGTTCTGCTGTTCCTACTGCGTTGACTCTACTAGCAAACCAGGCTGTCTGACTTCTCTTGTTTCTCAGTAGCCTTCAGGGAAGGCTCAGGATGCTTAGTCCCACCTGAACCTATGTACCTTTTCAATCTCTGCATCATCCTGTAGCAACAAATTTTGCTAGATTTTGTTTATATTATCAGGAATCTTTCTGTTCTAGCGTAGGAAAGAATGAATCATTTTCCTCATTAGATTTTTTGAACTGTTGTTAGTGACTTTACATATTTTCATAATGTGATTCTTCCTCTTTCCACCCGTCATCTCCCTTTCTTGCATCTGTGCTCAATGGAACCATGGTTCTTGGTCTTTCTGTACCTGCTGCTCCCCTCTTCTACCTCACCAGGGTAACCAGAAATGTAGTAGAGCCTGCGAGATGCAATCACAAACTGCCCTTGAAGAGTGAGTGAACAGTTACTAGTCCAGCTGACAATTTGGAATTCAATCCGTAAGAACTTCAAAATGTCTTACCTAATTCTGTACAGTTAGTATGCTGTCATAATATTTACTCACTGTGCATCACTTTGCTTTTACCAATATTGAATGTTTTCTGCCAGAAATCGCTCAAGATGGTGAGTTCCTTCTGTGAGTCTGCACAGTTTTCTCAATAAATAACTTGGGAATACGTCAAGGAAAAGAAATCCTAGCCTAACCCTTTTTGTGACCTTACTAGTGAACTCCCTTCCTCACCAAAAAAACGATAACTATTTCTTATTGTTTTGGGTTTTTAATCTGACGGCTAATACAGGAAAAAATTTCCCCCTTTTTTATGGTACGAGTTAGCTGCTTTGGGAGTTTTCAGTAAGAGACTTTGCTCAAACTTTAAGTTAGAAAAAATGTTTTAACAGTCAACCAGATCACCTGTAACCATGTAGGTGTCAGTTCTTTCAGATATTTAATTTAGCCTGTCTGTGTTCTTCGGAAGTGGTGTTTCATTCTTCCCCATTTATTGTCTTAAGTGATATGGGAATTGGGCTCCCAGGACTCTGTTCAGTGGACCCTACCTTGGCGGTTGAGGGATTTTTCACGGAGCCAGATCTGTGAGCAGAACAGATTCTGGTTTTGCTTCTAGTGGTGAGATGTTAATGAGGTGCTGTTTACTTCCTGTCTAGCCCTAGTAGCTTCTTACAGATTGACGTCAGATGCAGCACTTGATTTCTTCAAAAGTGATTTTACATAGTAGTATTTGAAGGAGCTAATAAGATAAGCAGTTTGAATTTCTTTAAACCTTTTCTGTAAAACATATGCAACTTGATTACTATTCTTTTTGAGAAGTTTTAAAGTTTAATAAATTCCTTTGTTAACTTGTCTTTAAGAAATTCACTTATTAACAGTTGAAATAGAGTAGTCCCTGGGAAAGAACGATTCCAGGATGGAAACCTTGCTGATGTCTTCTGTTGTGGATATTTAAATAGTAGTTTGTTTTGCTTTTTCTAATGTGATTTTCTCTTCTGTACTCCTACTTCCTATTCCTTTTCCTCTAAGTTGGTGGTGTTATTTATTGTAAACTGTTACTATAATCTAGCCCACTTCTCTGCCATATGTATTTCATACTTCTGATGTATTGGGATGGTCAGTGAAACATGGTGGTGTCATACAAACTACGTCTGTACAGACCAAATGCTGTAATTCTTTCTTTCCCCCTTACGTTTCAACAGACTCCGCTGTTTTACAGGGCACGGTGATCTGCAGCGTCAATGAGAATATTGTCACAGAATAGTTTTCCTTGTAATTGCTAACATACCTAATTGATTTGGGACTTAACAAGGTGCATTCATTACACACGTATCATCGAGAGATTGCCCATGAGAGTGATGGGTGGAAAGATGGGACAGTCAATAAACACTTTATTGTTGAGTTTATTTACCTATGAGGATATCATGGATCTTCTGTCTAGCTTCCTGTTGCAGTATTTTATGTAAAAAGCTGCTGAAATTTGTAAGCAGCATCTTTCAGCCTTGCTAGGAAGGTAATATGTACCTGAATCTGGATGGCAAAATACGCAAAACTTTCAAAGAATTTTCAGAATTTCTTTGCAACCAGCCACTGAAAGCTGTAGCTAGTCCATAACAAAAACGTCCAGTAAATTTGGATGCCTCCAAGAAAATCAGGCTTTGGGCTCTGTGCTAATGTCCATTTATAGTCCTGGATTTGCCCCTAGAGCGTTTGTTTGAGGAACAGATATTGTCATCTATTTTGCAAAATCTGTATTAACTTTTGGCTTTATTTTTTAGGTGAATTCTTGTCTTTGAAAAGCAATCCTGGTATTTGGTTTAAAAGGTGTTTGATAGGACGCAACCTGTCATCTAGTTTTGTTTGTCTGTGACTTACAAAAAAAAATTCTTTTCTGTTCATAGCTCTGTTCTTAAGACGTTTTAGCCATGACTAAGAGAGAGGCAGAGGAGCTGATAGAAATAGAAATTGATGGAACTGAGAAACAGGAATGCACTGAAGAAAGGTATGTACTGTCTTTGCTTTTTGGGGTCCTTAGGCTGCAATTAATTTATTTATTTATATATTTGTTTTCTTTAAGTGATTTCAGATTGGTGGCTGCACACACCAAGTTTGATTATTCAGATATACTGTTGGGTGTTGTGTAACGCTTCAGAGATGGCCATGGTGATGAAATACGTACAAGTGGTTTCTAGCTAGGCAAAAGAAGTAACTTCAAACTGGCAGAAGTAACTGACTCAGTATGATCTCCACAATCCTGCTGTTGATTGTTTTCACAGTTTTTCAACTTTCTTGCTGGATACGAAGTTCTTAATTTTGCTTGTGCTCTCTTCTATTTTTCTGCTTCATATCTAATAAAGTGATTGTTTTCTTGAAGTGGAGCTGTAGCCACTATAGGAAACCAGTATAGTGCTATCGTATTCTGCAATCTTAATTTCTTAAATCTCAGAACTGTTTTGTTTATCTCTTGCTATATTCTTTGTAGTTCTTTTGTACTTTTGTGTCTGTAGGAATATGTCTACATGTACGTGCTGCAAGCCTTTCAGCTTCAGTTTGTCCTTCTGTAATTGAGATGAACCTTTCAGTTTCTCTAGCCCATTGCTTTACTGTTATACAGGGTCGTTTGTTTTTAGCAGAGCAGAAATGATGTTCTGTGTCTGTTGACTGTCTTGTTGTTAGGGCTTTTGAAACTGTAGATACCGAAGTCTGGTTTCCTTTGACTTAATTACCTCAACCTGTTTTCTTCTTTCTAATGCTTTGTTCCTAATGTCTGTAAACTTTCCGATTTCTTCTGTGTACATGTAGAGAGACCAACTGTCTAAGGTCATTGCCAAGGTAGGAGTCCCATAACATTGACGTTTCTGAATGCCTGCACCAATGCTGTCATGGCTTTAGTGCAGGATGAACATGACGTGTGATTAATGTTTCCTTCAAGGCGCCATGTTGCTGTAGTTCCTTCTGGTTGTCTCTTCTATACATGAAGCTTATCTTTGTGCTGATTGGTGAAAGACATGGACAATTACTCTGAGAGCAGACATTTTTTCCTTCTTTTTTCCCTACCTGTTATGTTTCTGCATTTGTTTTTAACTTGAATCATATTTTAAATACAGTCTGGGCAAGACAAATAGAATTAGTTTACTCTACATGCAAGTTAATAATGTATAATATTGTAATTATGACTTAATCTCTTGAAAACAGTGATCTGAAAATAATCTTATTATTTAACCTAGCTTTTTAACTGCAGCAGGGTAAGAGAAGAGGTACACAACTGTAAAATCAATTTAGTAATTCACTCTCTACTGAAGCTGAGTTTTTCTACATGGTGTTAAGATTTCAGAGTCAGTATTATCTTTTATGTAGTTTACTTTTAACTTTTGTTAAGCTTTCTTATGCCTACTATATTAACATGTAGGTAATGATTTGTTGTATTAATTTGGTATTTAAGCATCATTGAGCAAACCTACACCACAGCAGAATTTGTGAGTCAAGCTATTGACATCAATGAACCAATTGGAAATCTTAAGAAGTTGCTGGAACCCAGACTGCAGTGTTCCTTGGATGCACATGAAATTTGCCTGCAAGATATCCAGGTAAATTGAAAGGTTATGAAAGATTTAACTTCTTAATTAAGAAGCATTTTACATACTACATCCCTTTCTTCCATTGTTTGTGGAATTTGTGCTTCATTTGGTTTACTAATTGCAATTAAGAGTTAAAGTTTATGTCAGGTTTGTTATCGTCAGACCGTTTAATATGTACACACTAATTCAGTGTGAATAAAATCAAAATACTTTCAGAGTTCCTGGGGTGAGGATAAGAAAACAAAAAATTATTACCTTGCAAGTGAAAGAAGAATGAGGGCAAAAACAATACTATCTTCTTTTGAGGTAACCCATGTCATTTGTTCCTGCCTGAACTTCTGTGAGTCTCATCTTGTTTTGAATCTGAATAAAGCAAGCAGGTTTTTATAGTATTCAGGTGCATAGATAGCAAAATATAACTCAAGAAACACTCTCACACACACACTCTCTCTATTTTTACAGGCATCACTACATGTTAGACACTATAACTGTTTCATATTGTGTTTAGCTACATGTTTTATTTGTAGTTGTAATCAGACATCCGTGGCTTCTTCAGAAACAACAGGGAGAGAATACTGCTTTAAAGACAATTTTTACGAAGGTGTTAAAAACAGAGAAGGAACTGTAGATACTTTTCACAAAGCAAAGGTACCTCCAGGTATTGCATTGGGGTTTTTTAGGTTAAAAAATGTCCCTGTAAGTGAAACTACGTTAAACAGAACAGAGTGGTGAATTTCAAATTCTCGACAAGTTCTTTCTGTCATGTACTATGTCTACATAGTACTAAAAATATTTGCACACTTCTTCAGAAGATTTGCTGCAGACACTAAGTGTTTCTACTGTTTCTGAGTTTAAAGGAGAATAAGTTTCTTAACTGTGAGACTAATACATACTTTTTTTTTTCTTTTGTCAAGCTGGACCCAGATCGAAGCCTTTTTGATCAAGGAGTTAAAACAGATGGAACGGTGCAGCTCAGTGTGCAAGTAATATCTAGGCAAGGTAAGCAGTTAAGTTTGTCTGTTTTACAGACAAATTAATATTGTAGAAGTGTTTGTGAGCAAACCAAATCCCCTGCTATTTCTAGCTGTAAAATTGAGAAAATGACTGAATGGTCACATAGCTTCGGAATGTCTCTTTCATTGTGTACTGTAGTTGTAAGTAGTCGTAATTAAAATAAATGTCATGGACTGATGCTATTTGAAATTGTTTTTATAGTAATTTCTTATCAATTTTTAAGTAAAAAAAAAAAAAACCAACCCAAAACAAAACAGAAAAAAACCCCAGCCAGCAAACCAAACAAACCTGGGTCAAATCGCAACAGTTACAGTATGAAGCTTTTGTTAAGGGTGAGTAGTTACTCATTCCAGACCAAATATCTAAGCAGGCAAAAGATTTTTGTCTAGGTAGGAGATAATTTCATCTTTGTGAGGTGAGTGAGCTTGTGTGCTTTGTGAACAATTAGATTGTGAGAGTATATGTAGCTAACTGAAAATTGGTATGAAAGGCTGGGATCACTGTCTGTTGTCTGTTTTCTTTGGATGAGAAGTCAGTCAACTATTGTGACAGAGGAGCATTAACCAGGTGAGTGAGGTTTTGCTGATACATAGTTTTTATTTGTTTGTATTGTCAGGTATGACAGGAATTCCTCTTGTCAAATTCTCAGGAATTAATAGCTTCACTGTTTTGCTTTTGTTCTACTCTTCTCCTTTGCCGCCCCCTCCATATGTCTCGAGTGGAAGGACTGTCACTGCTCACTGAAGGCAATGTTCGTGTTGGGCTCTGGGAGCAGATACAGGCGTTTGTTGCCATATTTTCAAATAAACAGTGGCAACAAGTTCCCACTGGAGTAGAGTATCTTTGATTATCTGGTTTGATTTATGTCAACAATGCAGATTAGCAAAATTTAGAGAGGACATTTTGTTTTCTTGTGGCTTCAGTGTAGATTAGACAGAAGAAAGCCTTTCTGTTTTGTATTAACGATACTAAGGCTGCTGATCTGCATTTAATGCTGAGTGTCAGGTGGCTAGTGCTAGGTTGAATCCTCAGTTCCCTGCATGTAATGTGACTTGAACTACCTTTATGGTTTTAGAAATAGAATGGAAATATCCTTCAGGGTACTAGAATAACTGCTCTTAATTCATGCTTCGTAACTTACAGTATGTAATGCTCAGACTTCCAGATTCAAAAGGATGCAGGTGGTAAATATCTTCACTGTTATCTTCCATTTTCTTCCTGTGGTTGTTTTTTGGGTTTTCTTTTCCCTTCTTTAATATAAAACTGAAGTGCATGACTGTATAGCACAAGGAGCTTCTTTTGTTTTTTTTTTCTCTCTCTCTCTCTTCAAAAGAAAAAACAGCTGAGTGTTAAGTACTTTGGTGTAACTTCAGAATGATCCTTAGTGTTGTTTTTCAGGCCGTGATACTTTACATATAAGCAACTCATAATAAATCTGGCTGTTGAAGGTAAGTAAAGTATGGCAGGGCAGAATATCTGAAAACAAATAGCATGTATATAAATAATAAAAGGAAGATATTTGTATTACCAACAAGGAAATGGACTTGTTACTCTGACTGCAGTGACACTTTGAGCCAGAGAGAAAAAAACGGCTTCCTATGCCATCCACATATTTCTCTTCTATGGATGAGGTATTGAAAGATTCTCAGTTTGCTTATTTTTATTTTTCCCGAACTTGTATAATATACATTTCAGCCTGCAGTAGTCAGTGATTCTAATGCTTGTGAGGGATTGGACTCTCTTACCTCTTATGAGGCAAGCTGTTATGTCAGTTCAAGTGTTATCAAATTTCAGTTAGCCTTCTGTAAATTAAAAGGAATAAACACCAGCTGAAATACAGTCCATTGTAGTTCTTTTATAGCATTTTGTACAAAGGTGTCTTAATGTAATGTACAGCAGATAAAATACCAGTCCTATTTATTTGTCTTACTAGAAAGAGCGTTCTGTCACTCCACCTCACCTTAACTCCTTTCTCCTGGCTTGAAGAACGGCAATCTATATGGTTTTCCTGCCATTGTGAGAACAGCTGTTTTGAGTGCAGCCCTGTTCTGTACTGCTCTGAAGTGAGCCTCTTGCAAGTCCGTGGAGATCTGAGTAATTGCATTACATCGTATGTCAAAATTTGAAAAAAAGCTTTAGGTTTGAAGGCCTCCATAGCAAATTTTTTCTTTTAATCCACACACAAGCTATATCTGATCAAGGTTTTCTCCTGACTGTCTATTTATAGATAATATCAGATTTGTATTCTGCCATCCTTAAGCTGTTAAGGTTGGTAAGTGTTTTTTTTTTTTCTCTTGAGATATGATAAAATTGATTCTGACCCTACCTTTAGTCCTTTGCTTTCTTTTTTTTCCTTGAAGAAAAGGAATGAGTAGGGGAGAGGGAAGATAAACTGTTCAGGTTGTAAATTCCAGTGCTGGGTGTATGGCATAGTTTGAAATACTTTCTGGGAAGACTTAATAGGTGGAAGATCTGGCTGGCAGACAGTCTGTCACCTGAAGGATTTTTTTTCTTGCTTTTTCTACCTCCTTAATCAACAAAATAGAGGCAAGGTTGAATGGAAGTACTTGCCACACTTTTTTCAGATGAACTGTGAGAGGCAGAGATACTAGATTGAAAGGGCTAGAATGAGAGCAGTGATCTCTTACAGGCATGGGTTTGAGCAATGAGAGGAGAGACCTGTGTTATGGAGGTGGACAATGTAGCATTGCTTTGCATTTCTGGTTGTTTGCAAAGTATATGAGCAGGTGGTTCAGTTAACTTGTGTTCAAGTCATTACCATACAACATACACAAACTTAAACAAGTCAAGGCCGTGTTTGTGAATGAAACTATCTGTAGCTGCTGTGTATGTTGAGCTCAGTTCTGTCTGTTCTGTGCATCCGAAGCACACCTGCAAGATCAATGTTTTCCCAAACAGATGCTCTTCCACCTACTTTTTGAACGCTTGACTGATAAGGGGCTCTGCTTTTAGAATTTCTGACATACTATAGATATTTACACAGTTTTTGGGACTAAGCAGTGGTTAAGCACTAGAGGTTCTTTGGATTTAGGTAGGTGAAGTCTTGAGTCCTGTTTTAAGTGAGTAACTCCTCATTTGACTGCGGTTTCTAAACTGTTTTTTTGCAATAACTAGGTTTATATTGTTTTTAGTATGTAAAGGAATGATTCATATGTGTAATGAAACATATTGATTTAGATTAAAGGTGCAGTTTGACTAATATCCTGTCTCTGACTGTGGTTAATACTAGGCATTTTGAGAAAAACAAACAAACCAACCAAAAAAAAAAAAAAACTGCCAAAAACCAAACAAAACACACACAAACACACACCAAAAACCAAACCAAACCAAAAAAACAACAGGTTGCCTGTAGATCAGTCTTAATCCTAATATATTCTCTAACTTCAGACAATTAGCAATGAAGGGGCTCATACAGGCAACATCTGGACATGTCTTGATAGCTGACCTCCTTGGGTTTTTGTACTTTTTGTACCAGTTTATACTTCTGGGATATGTGACATTCTCATATTGTGTTCCACAACTCACGTCCTGTCCAAAGAAGACTGAACATTAGTTTTCTTGTGCAGTAGGTTAAGGGAGAGATGTGAGAAGAAATGCAGAAAAACCCAGCGAATTTTGATCTGACATTGCAGTAGGTTGGGTGGCAGCCTGTTACTTCGCAGCATTTTTGCTTATAAGCTGATTCCTCTACAGAGACTCATCACTTTGATCTCCATGTTTGCATTATGAATAAAGCTGTAGATTCACAGTTCTTTTGACAGGTAGTTAGACAGCCAGTGGATTATTTTTTTGAGCAATAGTGAACTGTTCCTTTCTAGAAGCTTTTTTTCTTTACTTTCTTTTCTGAAGATCAAAAATAGAATCTTAACTCTCAGTGTTTTCTCTTACACGTTTCTGTCCGACTTTAAAACAAGCCTGTGCTGCACGTATTAATCTTAAATGGCCTAGATAAAACACTCAAGGCACTTGTTTGCTTTTTCTTCATGTTTGCTTCTTCATCTAATCAACCACTATCTGGTTGTCTGCGTCAGTTTTCGCTTCCTTAATTTCACATTGCTGCATGTTGTACTTAAGATTTTTGTAGTGTTCCCTTTCTAATATTTTTCTAAAGCTGGACTCCTTTTAAAGAATGCTGACAGCGCACTGGTGTTTATAGTTGGCACTGAGGCCTCGAGGACTTTTCAGCTGCTGTGTTCTTGCCAGTGTGCAAGAGCACAGCGGGAGGGCAGGGAGCATGGCTGGGACAAAGGGTCCACAGCTCCCCTTACGGTATGAACTTAGATTTAGGATTGAGGGCCAAACT